TACGTAGCTGCTCCAGCAACATATCTCTATTTCCTCACATCCAGAAACACAGGAAGGGCTTTCACTCTTGCTAGAAGCTCAGCTTTGCCCTCACCGGTTCCGGAAGGCTCCTATGGAAGAGTCCTGTATGCACAGAGACTTTGCACCTTCCCATTAGGGGAAATAGGAAGCCCCGAACATATATTTTTTAGATGTCCTTTTTATGTTGAGATTCGTAGAGACACCATTGATCCTTTGCTGAAAAGGCTCGCGATCTTTCAGACAAGTCTAAACTTAATTCTCTCCTCTTAGGCAAAGATCACAAGACGACCTGGCTGGTAGCCAGATTTTGTGCCCAGATTTGTAGGCACAGATCATCCTCTAGAATAAATAGGGAAATGCTGAAGTCTCCCTTTGGGGTGCCTCAGGGTCAATTTTTATGGAAGCCCAAATCTTAGTTGTACGAGTGTATGTATGTATCTCAATTTTAACTCATGAACTATTGCTGCAATCTGCTTCAATTGCATATTTTATCTTTATGAACGCTGTTTTTATTGTGTTATGCGAGCTGGTCTTTGACTGTAATAAATTATCTAAATTATCCCTACCACCATCCCCAAACCAGGGCCCCAATCCAAATGAGGGCCCCTATGCTGGTGTCAGGGACTGAACTGCAGAGGAATGGTGGAGGCTGCCCCCCACCCCACCCCCCTAGCCCAACAGCTGGCTATTTGGGAGAGAGAAATCATGCACTGCAAGTGACGCCATTAAGAACATGTGCAGCTTGGCCTTTAGTCTCCAATGGCAGAGCTCAGTGCTCTGGAATTCCCTCCACTCAGACAAGGGAGCCTCTAGAAATAAAGACAATGGACCCATAAATCACATTTCTATTAAACATACCGGCATTTTTTGTTATATCCAGTGCTATTTTACTAGGGAAAAAGGTGCCGGATCTCACCATGAGCGCCTCCCTTGTTCTCTTATAATGGCAATGACTCCCACATGAGAGGTGCCAGAACTGAGTTCCAGTCAGTTCCAGCTGGAAAAAAGCCCTGGTTAAATTGTAATTTGGGGAGTTGGACCCAAATGAGTGAATACGTGCACCTTGGTTTCCTTGACTTCATTTTGTCATTTATTATTTTACTTATTGTATTTATACATTGTTCTTCCCTCTAAAGGAGCCCAAGACACAATGTAATAAAAATAGCACGATTTACAACACACCACAAGCACAGCTGGATTCAGAACAGGTTTATCTCCTTAAAGTTCAGGTGAACAAATGTCAAGGAATGGCTAGATGAGGAAGAGTGGTGGGAGCCGCCCACCCAAGAGCCCCCCAGGGAGGACACAAAAGACAACGACTTAGATCCCGGATCCTGGTGGTGGAACACTAAAGATCAGTCTGCAGACGGGACCAGCTGGGAGGTGCTAGAAGCAGGGAGTTTGAGCGATCAAGGGGGGGGGGTCAGAAGGAGGGCCTTCCAGGACAGGCTTAGAGGCCGAGAGTGTGAGTGTAGACTCAGACAGAGAAGAATCAGAGGCTAAACAGCATCAGGACAGTCCCAGTCCACTGGTTCTCCTCCCCCTGCTTGAGAGAGAATCCTGCAAGTTGTTGAGCCACAGACCAGGCAGACTCCTCCTCACTCACCCCCTTGACGCAGCCTTCATCTGCTTGTGAGGGATCCAGAGCGAAAGGCTAGAGGGGGAAGGGCGGAGCTAGTGGTCAGTTTCAGGAACGTCTCAGCTGGATTAAGACGAACCAGAGGACTCTACTGTGTTGTTCTTTTCTATGGATAAAAAGTTAATTGCATTCCCCATCCCCCATGTATGTGCCTGCCCTGTGGTTGACCTGGCTTGCTTGACAGCTCCTTGACAGCAAACATGTTTTCAGTAGGCATGCTTAATCATGGGTCGAGTTACAACCTAATATCCAAAATCAACAAAAGTTCTATGGTAATTCCGCTGCATTGTACACCGTCATGGGTATATAGTTGTGCCTGTAAATGCAGTTTGCTTTGGAGGTTTTTACACAAATTGCCAGCACTGGAGAGGAGAGGCAATCCCATTCAAAAGCCAAGTGTGGACTGCTTGAATTCATTACACATTCACCAGGCTTCCTCAACCTCGGCCCTCCAGATGTTTTGAGACTACAATTCCCAGCATCCCTGACCACTGGTCCTGCTAGCTAAGGATCATAGGAGTTGTAGGCCAAAAACATCTGGAGGGCCGAGGAAGCCTGACATACACTATGTTGTGGGTCTGAGCTGCATTAAACCCTCTCCCTGCACTCCCGCCCTCATATGTGGCAACTTGCATTTGTTAAAACAACTTTGATCCATTTTAATGGGATTTTGTTTCCTTTGCAAATTGCGGGTGTGGCTCTCCCAATTTGGGTCAGTGTACAGTGAAAGGAAGGGATGCGGGTGGTGCTGTGGGTTAAACCACAGAACCTAGGACTTGCCGATCAGAAGGTAGGCGGTTCAAATCCCCGCGAAGGGGTGAGCTCCCGTTGCTCGGTCCCAGCTCCTGCCAACCTAGCAGTTCGAAAGCACATCAAAGTGCAAGTAAATAAATAGGTACTTGCAGTGACAATTTGTGTAATTAAAAAAAAAACCCACATCAAACAAATCTGTACTTACTGCACAGTATTGACATCTAGTTCACCTCTCAGTGAGCTTTTATTTGAGATACTGGGTCATTTAATTTGTTTGCCAGTTCTAGAATGACCAAATCAAACATGTTTGATCTTTGCACCTGTTGCATCACTGTTAAACGGTTTGGAAGATTAATGGATCTGTGAGCATATAATAAATGATTAAATAGCTTATCAGAAGAGGAAAGTACACATTATGGGCCAATGCCTATAATAAAACCTTGACAATGGATTCTATATATCAAAATGAAAGCACACTCATAGGCCTTTAAATACCCCTATGTTCTAAGAGATAAGAGCACCATAGTTTCTCTTGCCTGTTCCTGCCCCCAGTTCTGTCATCCATCAAGTCTCCAACTTGCTGCAATTGACCAGGACTCCAAGTATACTATACAGCACAGGGATACCATGGAGGTGTGGAAAAAAGTAAGACCCAGGTAGGGATGCTTGAATCTGTCAGTTTCCATTTCTTTCAGTTTCCAATTTTTCCAGTCTTCAAATCAAGTCATTTCAGTACATAATTATTACTTTTTAAAATTCCTCTTAAAAATTAATCAGCAGTTTTGTGTGCATCTATCCAAACATACACATTTTTGTATGCACTTTTGACTTTGCACACATATTTGCAAGCAATTTCCCCTAATATAATGCATTTCCATTTGATATTTTAACCAATCTCTTCATGTTTATGCACACTTCCCCCCAACAGACAGCTTTGTGTTTGGGCTATATGTTTTTGGGAGACTGAATTTTTTAATAGGTAATGTGGATCCTAAAAACATACACCTCAAGGGTCAAAAGCCAGGGTAAAGAGTTGCATCTGCAGCATTCTCTGAAAGCTGTCTAATGAAGATGCCAGATGCATGCCTGGAGAGATTTTCCTCAAGGGCACCTCAACATTCCTTGTGAGTTTCACCAGCAGAAGGTCTAGCAGCAGAAACATTTTAAAATGTTTCAACTGTAAAGTGCTTGGCACGAAAACAAAACAAAACCCTTGGTCCTATTTGACTGAAATTTTGATGCCCTGCCTTCAATCCCTGCAGATTTCATACAGTTATGTTCAGAACTGTAAACACTATAGGCTCCCTGGGACTTTGCCAGAGCCATAGCTAGGTGATCTTGCACCCCTGGCAGAACCTTCAAGATTGAGCCCCCCAGCCCCTAACCACGGACAAATTAGTTCTTCTTTATGCGTCTCCTCCAACCCCCTCTATTTAAAACCCGTTTTTATGAGGCAATAATCAATATTTTTATTTATAGACATATTTATGGCCATATTTTAAAGCCGATTCTGGGGGGGGGGCCTCGCCTGCACCCCCATTGGGGGCCTTCCTCACCACCCCCTAGCTACGGCCCTGGACTTTGCCATTCAAATCACTGGAAAACACAAGCAAATCTTCATTCATTCATGAAATGACCTTACAAAGCAGGAATGAAACAAAACAACATATGATCACAAAGTAACAAAAGATAGTTTACACATTACACTTAAAAGGGTACACCTCACATGTACAAGTGTTTGTGTGAAAGAGTGCACACTTCTTGACTTGTATAGCAGTGTTACAAAAGCAGTGGCAAGAGTCCATGGGGTCCCAGGCGCACACATAGGGTATGTTGCCCTTTGGAGAATAGAAGACACGGTGGAGACTGTCATGCTTTAAGAAATATGGTTTATTCACCTATTTACACCTTCAGTCTGCATGGAGAGAGTCCAGATCTTACAGCATAGTCATTCCAAGAGGCAGCAGCATAAGCTGCCTGCAGCCAGCGCACTCCAAAGACGGCTCTCAGCCCTTTCTTCCTCCTTCTTTCTCCCAACAACCCTTGCTCAAAAACTCTCTCTCCTGTCCCCTCAAACACACCCCATCACCTTGGTAACAGCTCACTCCCCAGGCTAAAGGATTCCTCTCCCCAATGATCCATCAACACCTTTTTATCACGTTAGCAGGTTTGTTTGCGTAAGCCAGCTCAAGAATTCCTTTGCAGCTTGCATTCTCCTTTCATATCACAAATAACCAAAACCCTATCATTTATTAACTTCCAGGGTTTACCCTAAATCTATAACAATATGCTCACAAAGTAACAAAAGACAGTTCACACATTACACTGAAAAAGGTACAGCCTCACATGTACAAATGTTTGTGTGAAAGAGTGCACACTTCTTGATTTGTATAGCTGAACTATTGTGTACACAGGTACAAAGACTGGACACTGTTGAATGCAACTTGTAAATGCCTCTATACAAACAGATAGGAGTTGCACATCTCTACTAGATACAGACATAACATTTTGAGCTTTGGCACTCCCCTCATTATGCTCAGTTTAAACAAGCTTAGCTCTAGGATTGAGGGAGTCCTGGGTCAAGACTTCAAGCCTTGCAGTACACCCCATATTTTAACTTTCTTCCCAATTCTGTTCCACCCAAGCGTTCTTCAAATGTTGCATCCATTTTTTGGTTGTGCTCTTCACTGAAATGATTCTTCCAGTCACTAACACCACCTGAACAGAGTAGAATATCATTAATAATAATATCCTCAACAATACGTTTTGATCAATTGACAACTTCTCCTGCAATTCCAGTTTCAGGGTGCTCTAATGACATTTCCCCCCTATCCACTGGTGTGCTATTGCTTTCGAAAACCAAATCTGCTCACTGGTGTGTCTTCCTCAAAGAAAGGGAAGAGAAGATCGGGCAATACTCTGAACTAAAGAGAAAATATCTTCTGAGAAAGTCCAGATGGGGCTAGACTAATGATCTAATCTGAGCCCTCATCTGCACTATACATTGAATGCAATATTAAACAGGCATGGCTCTCCTCAAATAATTCTTGCAACTGTAGTTTGTTAAGGCTCATGAGAGTTGTTGGGAGACCCCTACTTTCCTCACAGAGCTTCAAATCCCAGAGTTTCCTGAAGAGAGAGGTTGAACATTAAACCACTCTGAGACCTATAGCTCTGTGAGGTGAACAGGCTCTCCTAATAACTTCCAGTGCCCTTTACAAACCACAGCTCCCATAATTCTTTGGGGAAGCCAAATAATGGCTTAAATATGTGTTGCAGATGGAGCCTCAATAAATGACCACCACTTCTAATGTCACAATGAGGCCACCAAGCCATTCTGTTCCTTGGATCAGGAGATATGCTCTTAGTGATGCTTCCAGAGTCCACACTTCCATAGTTTCACATATGAAACTCATCAACCAACCTTTCATCACCAACTTGCCTTCAACATAAGGGGAATGTTGTGGTCCTCAAAATTCTTCTCCAGCTTGGATTTTAAGATGAGTCGAAGAACTCCTCCCTCTTTCCCACCCTCTTTCTTATCAGACTGCCACAGCAGTTCCAGTGTTGACAAGGAGAAAGGCCTCCTCTCCCTGACTCTGTCTTTGACTGAAATGCAGCTATATCAACAATCCAGGCACCCAGAGCCCCTGGACATGCAATTATATGGTTGCAGCTATTTTTAAACTCTAGCAGAACATTAACATTGTCTTTGAAGTTTACCTTTGCGGAAAAGAATATCACCAAATGCGCCATGGGTTTTTCCAGCGTTTTCCTTCATAGCTTTGAAACTGCTTCTGTCCACAACCCCTTGAATCTTGTCATCAGTTAGTTGCAAGTCAAAGAATTCACTTATCCGTTTCACTCCCAAAGGTCTATTCTGAAGTAAGGAAAGTAAAATATGCAACGTTAAGTATTAATTGTTTCTGGAGGAATTGTCAAAAATGTACAGTTCTGCGCTTTCTTGGAAGGCTTTGCCAGGAACCATAGGATGTAGGAACTACCAAGGCACTTTGTGGAAGGAGGGATGGAAGGAAAGAAGGGCCAATAGCTCAACAGCAGAGAATCTGTCCCAAGTTCAATCCTAGGAATCACCAGGTAGGGCTGAGAAATGCTCCTTGGCTGAAACCCTGGACAGGCACTGTCAGTCAGCATTTTTAGGGTGGGTGACTGGTGTGGTCACACTGGGTGCCACACTGCAGGGGGCACCACAACAATGGGGTAGAATGATTGGATTAAAAAAGTGCTGCAGAATGAAGCGTGAGAAGCGGGGGCACCAATTTTTAGTATCACACAGGGCACCGCTGGAATTTGAGAGCCCAAAGTCTGCCACTGAACAATCATCCGACACAATATAAGGCAGCTTGCTGTGATTCTAAGGCCTTTACTAGTCATTCAATCACATATCACTCAAAGATTATAATTACCATACTTTATGCTACGCCACAGCAGGTGGCGCTGTGGGTTAAACCACAGAGCCTAGGACTTGCCGATCAAAAGGCCGGTGGTTTGAATCCCCGTGACGGGGTGAGTTCCCGTTGCTTGGTCCCTGCTCCTGCCAACCTAGCAGTTCGAAAGCACATCAAAGTGCAAATAGATAAATAGGTACCGCTCCAGCGGGAAGGTAAACAGCGTTTCCGTGCACTGCTCTGGTTCGCCAGAAGCGGCTTAGTCATGCTGGCCACATGACCCGGAAGCTGTACGCTGGCTCCCTCGGCCAATAAAGCGAGATGAGCGCCGCAACCCCAGAGTCGGTCACGACTGGACCTAATGGTCAGGGATCCCTTTACCTTTACCTTTTTATGCTAGATACATCTCTATAAAGAAAGACGCATACATTTTGATGTAATACAAGTGTTTCAACTGGTTTGTGTACAGTGGAACCTCGGGTTACATACCATCCTCCTTATGAACGCTTTGGGTAACAAGCCTCGCTAACCTGGAAGTAGGTGCTTCTGGTAGTGAACTTTGTGCTGGGGTGCAAGTGGAAGTGCCGCAGCGGTGGCACGGCAGCAGTGGGAGGCCCCATTAGTAGTGAAAGCATGCCTCATGTTAAGAATGGTTTCAGGTTAAGAACGGACCTCCGGAACGGATGAAATTCGTAACAGGAGCTACCACTGTATTCCAGTTGAGCCAACCATTAGGCATCGTTGTCTTGACTATTTATAGCCACATGGCCAGGATTCAGCAATGCCCTTTGCCAAAAGTGCAGGGCATCCTCCACACAGCAAAGCACTTACCTCCTTCAGCTCCTCATACGTGATTGCCATGACATTTGCATCGTCAGCGTGCTTATTCCATTCAAAAACGAAGTCAAAATAAGAGCCCCAGACCACTGCAAGGAAAGATAGAAATACAAGACTGGTTAGTTGAAGATCAAAACATTCCTGCGCATTCTGAATATAACGAGGCTTTGCTAGTCAGGTGTAGATGTTATATCATTAAAGGTAAAGGTATACCTGACAACTAGGTCCAGTCGCGGATGACTCTGGTGTTGCGGCGTTCATCTCACTCTATAGGCTGAGGGAGCTGGCGTTTGTCTGCAGATGTGGCCAGCATGACTAAGCCGCTTCTGGTGAACCAGAGCAGCACACAGAAACGCCGTTTAGCTTTCTGCCGGAGCGGTACCTATTTATCTACTTGCACTTTGATGTGCTTTCGAACTGTTAGGTGGGCAGGAGCAGGGACCAAGCAACGGGAGCTCACCCCGTCGTGGGGATTCGAACCGCCGACCTTCTGATCAGCAAGCCCTAGGCTCTGTGGTTTAGACCACAGCGCCACCCACTATCATTAGGCACAGCAAATCAATCCCTTCTTCATAGTTCCATACACAGAGGAAAGTGCACCCCTTTTTGCCATCTGAGGTGAAATGGGAATGTGTTGCCATGCGACCGCGACCCTGGGAAGCCAAAAAGGCAATGCCCCCAACAGTGGCAGAGAAGACACTGGTTTCTGGTGAGCTCTTATGAAATCTCACTTGAAATCAGCGCCACTTCTCCAGAGGCACCATGGTGAGTGGGGTACCTGCGGGGTGTCACCTCTTTGGCTTCTGTTTCACCCTGTCTCATGGGGGGGGGCCCTGTCCATACACCTTTTTTCTTCTATTTACCCCTGCCCAGAGACAGCATGCAATATGAAACCATGGACAAACTAGGTTTTCCCCTAGATGCTCCTTAATATATGTGGAGAATCTGCAGGCCTGGCATTTCCTAACCAAGGGCCATGAGAGAAATGCCCTCTTACCCTGGTGTGGAAGGAGGAGCATCATTTAGATCAGCCTGTATATCTGGCCCTCAGTACCTTTCAAACACCACACTTTTCCACAGCCACATGCCTTTCTCCTCAAGCTATACACCCCTCTCTGGTCCTGCTTCACACCCTCCTTGAATGTCATTGTCTGACTGGAATATGTACACCAGCTCTGCCCACACATTTTGCTTGTCTGGATAGAGAACAAAGGGGTGTGTTTGTATAGCGATCAGTTTACTGTACAAAGGTAGAATTTACATTTCTCACTCTGACCTCTGGTCTCTCCAAACACTGGCTTGTGACCCCTGTAAGGCTTACCTTGAGATAAAAAAGATTCCCAGCCTCTACTTTCTGAACTTCTGGAATTAAAGACAACGACTGGTGGCTGTAATGGGCATAGGGTCAAATGAAGTATGAATCCTATCCCTGTTTCTTTCCTTTAAAAAAATACTGTAACATAATGAGAATGACTGATAACCCAAAGGTGCAGTAGCAGAGTATTACATACCCTCCAACATTTCTCCGATGAAAATGGGGACGTCCCATTCCATAATGATAATTTTACTATTTATACCCCACACATCTTACTGAGTAGCCCCAGCTGAGTATCCCCAGCCACTCTGGGCAGCTTCCAACATATATAAAACCATAATAAAACATTCAACATTTTTAAAAAGTTTCCCTATACAGGATTGACTTCAGATGGCTCATGGGTCAGATAATTCCATGAGCCATCTTCACCATTTCTCCAATGAAAATAGGGACGTCCTAAAGAAAATGGGACATTCTGGGATAAAATCAGAAACCGGGACAGCTTCTCTAAATCAGAGATGTTCCTGGAAAATAGAGACACTTGGAGAGTCTGATATTGATAAAAAATGTTCCTTTTCAACCAGGCCTTTGGCTGATTAACATCTTATACCCCTTTTAAATGTGTCTGTGGGAAGTGGTGGTAGGGAGGGAGGTTTAGTATGTTTATTGGTTTGTGTTTTTGTTCTTGTTTTTATCATGTATTTTGTGTTTTTAGCATGTATTTTTATGTTGTGAACTGCCCTGAAATCTACAGATGATGGGTGATATACAAATTTAATAATAATAATAATCACCATATATAATAATCACCATATACAAAGCAAGCAAGAACACAGACAATAAGAGGAAGACGTGGTAACACACCAATATGAATCAAGGCATCCATATTCATATTTCCCGAGGGGGCACTGACGGTGAATGGCGGTCATCTAAGTTCAAAGCGTAAGAAATAAAACCCAACCCAATGACGCAAAAGTGTTCTGGATTTTGTGGGCCAAATTTGGCCTGCCAAGTCTTTCTTTTTCACCTCTGAGGCCATTTTAGTCAAGTCATGCCCTGTTGACTTACGGGCAGGTAAAGGTGAGGTTTAGCCAAAAGGGACTTTGCATTTCCAAGTCCTACAACAACCGATTGTGACATCAGATGGCTGAGTAGGTGTCCTGCTCACTTGCCCAACCTGGTCCACAGGGTGTTATGGGCCAGGTTTAGCAACCAGGTTGTGGGCCAGGTTGTGGACCAGAGTTGTCCCACCAGGTCAAAAAGTTCCCTTACCCCTGGACTAAATTGATCAAACTGTGATATTGATCCAAATTAATGCAGTCATTCTGATGGGCCTACAGTGCTTTTCTTTGCATAGTTATCTACCAATAAATCTCAATGCATTCAGTTGTGAAATGAGGGAACATACTTTGTCCATTCATAAAAGCTGTAAAGAAGTCATCCCAGGTATTGTAAGAGGGAAGAGGAGATAACCGATTGACAAAATGGTAAAACGAGGTGGCCACATCTTTTGGATTTCTAATGAGCAGCAGTATCTATAAATAAAAAACAATATTTATAATGTTTACAAAGCTGGTTTTAACAAAACTGTTGTAATAAAAATATTATTTGCTTGCTTATTTGTTGGCATATGCGTGCTGCTCCATAACTCTTCCAAGACACATCGTGGCTTACAATACATAAGTAAAATACTAATAATATGAAAGAGAAGGAGGAGACCTAATGTAAATACAAAATAAAGAAAGCCATAAATAAAAATCTGCATGTATACAACAAAAGCAAACCTCATTCAAAATTAGAAATAAATACTTAAAAAACAAAAGCCCAGGTTACCTAAGTTATTAAATGAAGTCACCTAGCACTGAAAAGGTCAACAAGTTGGTGCCAAGTGAGGCTCCTTGCAAAGGAACAATACCAGACCAAAACTGGCTGTCACAAGAACACCGCATAACATGCCACTGAAACTCTAAAATGGACAATGAGCCACTAGAGAGCTTAGTAAATCTAGAGTTGTCATATTTCAAAAAGTGAATCTCCAGACAGAAAAATTTGCAAAATCACAAAAAAATTGGACGTTTCCCCCCGGACATTTGGCCAATTTCCATGCAGACACTGCTTGCTGCTGCAGTGTTCCAGATATGTCCGTGAATTTCCTGATTTGCTAAATAAACAAATTCCTTCCAATAGCACCTTAAAAGGTAAAGGGACCCCTGACCATTAGGTCCAGTCGTGGCTGACTCTGGGATTGCGGCGATCTTCTTGCTTTACTGGCCAAGGGAGCTGGTATACAGCTTCCAGGTCATGCGGCCAGCATGACTAAGCCGCTTCTGGCAAACCAGAGCAGTGCATGGAAACGCCGTTTACCTTCCCGCCAGAGCGGTACCTATTTATCTACTTGCACTTTGATGTGCTTTCAAACTGCTAGGTTGGCAGGAGCAGGGACTGAGCAACGGGAGCTCACCCCATCACGGGGATTCAAACCGCTGACCTTCTGATCGGCAAGTCCTAGGCTCTGTGGTTTAACCACAGCGCAACCCGCAGAAGTGTGCATGCACACGAAAGCTCATACCAATAACAAATTTAGTTGGTCTCTAAGGTGCTACTGGAAGGATTTTTTTATTTTGTTTCGACTACGGCAGACCAACACGGCTACCTACCTGTAACTGATTTACTAAATCAGTCCAAGTTCTCCACACCATGAAGACTCACTCACCTTGGCTTTTTTCTTGAAGACCGATGGAGGAAGATTTTGAGGAGTGAGGTGGGTAAATATGACTCTTCGAGAGGGTAAATCTGCCATTCTCTTTGGTAAATTGTATGGGATAGAGAGACAGTAAATAAAGTTTAGCATTTCAAATAGAAAGTTAAACAGAACTTTGAAAATCAACAACAAAGTGCAACCCTATATACTGTATATGCTCAGGAGTGAGCCCCATTGAGTTCAGGGGTGTGTACAGGATTGCTACCTAAAAGTTGTTGATAGAGAAGATGATCAAGAAAAATAATTTAAGGGCATTTGGAATAGCTTTTCTCAACAGCTGTGTGAAGAAAAGGCTTGAAAATGGTACAGAGTATAGTTGCAAATGGTTCAGCATCGTTCTGAAATGAAAGAACATCTTTGTAGATTGATATATAAAGTTCATCCCCTGGTACAATGCTATCTTTATCATGTTATACATACAATACAAGCTGTCACTAATAAAAGAAAATTCACTGGAATAAATCAGAGTCCCTTTCCGCAGTCTTAGTAAACACATTTTTATCCACCTGGTACTTCTCTGGATCTCCAACTTCAAGATAAGGAAATTCTTCCAGTTCTTCATTATTCAGGTTACTTGTGTCTTCATTATTTGCAGATGTTAGTACTAAATCTGTTAGGATCTGACCAACCCAGTTTGTACCTGAAAAGTGGAGAGAGGGAATGTGATGTTTTTACCTCACAGCTACAATGATTAAACAGTTATCAGTGCTAATGTACCAGGGAACTTTTTCTTTTTATGAAAAGTACATAAATATAATGAATGAATTAATAAAATAATTGTAAAAATGGAAACAGTACACATATCACACATGTCTTATTACCACCTCTCAAAATAAAGTTTTATCATTTTGACACCAGGCAAAGACTTTAAAAACAAAAACCCCTGGTGGCATGGATGGATGTTCACTGCAGATGCAGTAGTGGATATTGTGCTTGTGATTTCCTATGATTATGATCTTTTTTTCCTTTTTTTTTAAAAAACTGCCATGGCTGTGGCAATATCAGATTAGTATTGTCACACTGAAGGAGTGAGGTTCAGTGGCCCTTTATGCATGAAATCTCCTCATCTACTATTAGTCCTGATGGAAGAAAGGTACAGATATATTGCAGGTACCAGCAAGGTGGGTTTTTTGGGGGGAGGGGGACATTTTAATCCTGAAAATGTTGTTGAAGAAGAAGCTAAACCACCCCTTGCCAGCACTGCAGTCTAGTTGCCTCCTCCCTCATGGTTACTATTAATTGATTCCTAATAACAAATCATTTGTCCTGATAGCTGTGACATATTTTGGCCCTGATATCTCTGACATATCAGGGACAGGTCCTTGGACATTTCATTTTAACAGTGTGAGCTATGCCCCCTCCCACCCCTCCCAAACCACCGTTCAGAATTATTCTGAACATGACATCTGTTTATAGCAAGCAAATGATATTACCAGACTTGGGGTATCCTGCTAGGAACACGTCATCACTCCTTGCTTCAAAGGACTCAAGAGCTTGGAAGGTCTCAAGGCTGCAAACAGTACTTGGAAACAAAAGCCCCTTGTAAGAAAACACTAGCTCTTCGGGTGCCATCGTTTCAGCATCAGCCATTGCCTTATCTACTAAGGCAATAAACTTCTTCCTGTGTGTTGTCATTTTCTCCTCTTACTTGCCCACAAGTCACTCTGAGTGGAAAGCACTGTGGAGAGGCTGAAAGCCAAAGCCTTCCTTTTAATAAGATCTGTGAGCAGAGAGAATCGGATGAAGAACCCTTGTTCTGTCACACAGCTGTATATAGGGATGTGCTCTATACAAAGAACTTCCAGTCAGAGTAATTGAAAGTAATCTCATAAACATTGTGTTGGATTAGGCCCAAAAGGGGTTGGGGGGAATTGAAGAACTGAATACCATTGGGTTTTTTTAGCCAAAAGACCTATCTGATTTCAAAATGTCACACTTTCAAAAATAAGGTGCCATGGAATTACCTCCTGGTACACTTGCATAATACATAACCCGAAAACAACACAACTGCACTCTGAAGGGGTATGCCTGTAATTTTACATTTCATACAGATGTTCTGTTATTCAAGACAGCATCACTGAGGGGAGAAAGAAGCATTTATGCCAGGAAAAGAAAGAGGCATCTTTCTTATGTGTAGGACTTTGTGTTTACCCTATATATTGGGCAGTCAAGGTTGGTCTTCAGGGAACATAATTTGTTCTTTCTAGCAGGAGTTTGTCTCAGGACTGCTACTGACTGTGGGTTATGTTTTGTGTGAACAACACCGACTAATCCTCTGTTTGAATTGTATGATGGAGTTTGTGGTCAGATCCACAGGGTATCCCCACCCCTGAGGAGTTTGTCAGCTGCCCTGTAAGATTTTGTCCTCTCCTCTTCTTAAAGATAACTGTTTGGAAACCTATTTTGAATCAAGAATTGAAGACTTCACATTATCTGATGCTCTTCTGCATGCTGTTTCTGATTCATTATGGGAGAGTTTTCTAACACAATTATAGCTATAGAAAACAAATAGGCAAAAGAGTGAATAATTTTGGCAGAAAAGAAGACATTTAATACATCCCAGGAACATTTGAGCCTTGTTACATCATTGTGGTATCAAATTATTTCCTGAGAACCATGAGAGGATGGTGTCAGGTTTTGCCAAAGTTCTAGAAGCTATGTGGAACAGGAATGAGATAGTTAATGGACCAGTATTTCAAAAACATCACAACTTAGGTTCAAAATCAGCCCTCTTATGAAGCAATTTGGAGGCTGTGCACAATTTAAGGATGATAGGCTTTGTCCAAGAAAGTTCTTCCTTTTATTTTTAGTTCACTTGGCCCAGTGAGATGGCACCTGGCATAAATATTTTGTGCCCACTCCCTGGGGTGGTTTATCAAAAGTGAAATGATAAGTTTCACATAAGACATTTGCTGAAGAACAACTTTTAGGAGCAATTGATTGATCTAATGGATGACTTTACACCAACATGTGGTACGAGATGGTTGGAACAAGAGCAAGAAAACTCCGCATCATTGCCCTGCAGACACAATGAAACACAACCATTCAAATGTCCATTAAACAATAGTGTGCCCTTGAGAAGCCTGCTATATAGAGTCATGTTTATGGAAACTGACAGAAATTGACAGATATATGGGAGAAGAAATCACCCTCATCTTAACATTTGTGATTATATGTAATGGAGCAAGTAATCTCTATGGTATTTGGTACACCTGTAACTGTGACATTGTAAAAGTCAAGGTAAAGCCAAAATGCCACACCTTTTGCGGTTGTTCATAATCACTTGCATCTTTACCTTCATTTTGGGGGCCAGAGGTCAGCCTTGTCTAACATGTCAGACTGGAACAGATGAACCAGAGCAGCTGAGATCAAACTGATTATGGCAGCTATCAGGAGAGCAGAAAGGAGGGCGCCAGTAGGCCCCACTTGCGGCAAAGCAATTTTGCCCTCCCACCTGTTTTTACGTGAACATGCAAAACAACTCAGACATGTCAAAAAGAACTGCAATGAACTGGAAAAAAAACTGTTGTTATAAAAGGTCGAGGGAATCATAAGAGTAATTGCAAGAAATAATATAAAAATACTAATCAACTGTAAATAATTTTTCATATATATATTTTGAAACAATTCTTGCAACAAACTCTGTTTATATGAGATCTTGCTAGAAGCTGCCACCACACGACCCCAGGTAGTGGCAGGATTCTGCTGCCTGAGGGACCTGCTTCAGTCCACCTCATGAGGGTGCCGGCCCTGCTTGCCCATAGTGTGGTAAGGGACAAAGTTCTAATACGATTAACGCTATAGAAATAAACAAAAGAGCAAAGCATTTCTGACACAAAAGCGGCATTTAAGGATCCCATCAACATTTGAGCCTTGTTACATCACCATGGTGTTTAATCCTTTGCTGAGAACTGTGAGAAGGTGGTGTCATGCTTATGAAACCGTTACATAACCCATGCAGAAAGGTGATATGTACAGCATGTGCTAAAACATAAAAGAGATGGGCATGGTGTTTGTTATTAACACTTCTGCTTTTAACTTGCTTTTAATTTTTTATGATTTCACCATATGTTTTTATATTGTTATAAACCACTGTGATATATTTCTATGATACTGTGGTATATAAATTTTTTTATATAAATTAAATAAATAAAATAAAATACTCAAAGCAAACATAAACCTTCTGGCCTGTTTTTAAAGGAGCACATTCTAGCTCCATCTTGACAGCAGTTTAAAGGCACAATCTTCTGCATGCTTATGCAGAATGCACTCCCACTTCATTAAATAGAGGGGAATTGTGCATAGGATCACAGCTAGGGATGAGCTGACAGGCGGAACATATGTAATAATGCAATGTTGAATGTGTTTGCCACAAAGTTTTTTTCCCAATGAAGACCAATTTATTTGTTCTTTCCTATATGCAAAGCCCTCATCCAGTGTCATTCTATCACACACTATCTGTTGTTGAATCAGATTTCTCCTTGCAGATTTCTTTTTTTTTTTTTAAATCATATTTATTAAAGTTTCCAAAAATATAAAAATACAAAGAAAAAAAACAAAAGAAAGAAAATATTTAAAAACCTTACTTTCATTCCCTACTTTCTGGGACTCCCCCCCTCCCCCCCCAATTGTGTTCCCCTTTCCTTAATTTGGTTCTACAAGCTCTCACTCCCAATTTAAAGCTTAATTTGTTTAACCCACTATCCAGATTGAATTGTACAAATCTTACCATCCGTCCCACATCATTAACAGAAAAAGAAAAAAGATTTTCCCCAAGATCCACCCCAGTTCCTTCCACAAATTCCCTTTTTTTTAAACACGTCCGATCAAAGTAAAATAACATGCGTAAGTTATGTAAAGAAATAGAAACTAAGAGATATAGAAAAATTCAAAAATGGTTACACAGCCTTTGGAGTTCAAATCTCCCCCTTCCCGGTTTGAATTCCCCATGTCCATCAGTCTATACATTATCAGCTTGGAAGTCTCATTTCATGACCAGATTTCTCCCGATTCCATCTTGCCGGTTTTCTTTTAGTTTATTAATTTAAATAATATTTGACTTCAAATGTCCAATCTAACAAAGGCCTTTAATTTCCTTGATCTTTACCACTCCTCCCGTTGTTCTTTCCGTGTCGTAATCAGTCCTTTATTCTTCTTATTCCTCACTTTCTCAGGTTTCTTGTCCTGTTCAGCTGCTAAAACTTTCTAATTCAGAAATCTAGTGTCTCTGCAGAGGTTTGTTATTCAGGAACAAAAACTTACGTCCAGTCCCTTTCTTTCTTCAATAAAAAATTCCATTGTCTTCCTCTGTAGACAAAATACTCTTTCAGTTTTGCAGCTTTCCCAGAAGATAACAAATCCTGTGCGAATCCCAGGGTATTTTCCACTTACGACCGTTCTTGTAGTATCCCAAAACCCCTCTAGGGGATTGTAATAACTTTGTATCCTCTAATCCAAAAGTCAAATTGTTGCTTATTTTCCAACAGTTTATATCCATATTATAGCAAATTGTAACAAAATTAACCAGCAAGGTCCTCATAACAAAGTCCTCTTTATATTCTCCAGCTTTGACAGCCACTTTGACAGCTGTCAAAGTCTCCGTCTCTCTTCACCAGGCTCCATGAATCGCCCCGGTTCCCAGGGGGGGGGGTTGCATTTTCTTCTCACCCTCCACTCTTCTCCTCCAGCACATTTCTTATAATTTCCCATCGTGAAATTAATGATTTTTATCAGAGACATACTTCCCTTTGGACCTTGGTTACCCAGTCCTTGTTTTGGAATGCTTACAATAGGGGGATTGACTTCCTTTTAAATCGCCCCGCTCGTGCCAAATCCAAAATTTTGAACCCGGTTTCCCAATTACTCACGGGTTGTTGTTAATAGTCCAAATTTTCAATAGAAGAAGTCAGCGCTCTCCGTCGAATGGCATGCGGCTGCGCTCGGCAGGAAAGCAGTGGACTCAAAGCACCACGCCACTCCCCGGCACCCGATCCGAAGCCTTTAAAAGGCTCCTTCACGAGTCGGGAGGGCGCTAATGGTGCAAGCCGAGTCACCCATGTCCACGGACTCCGTGCCCGTGGTTTTAAGGGTCCCCGCGTCGCCGGCGCGGTAGGACCCAGCCCCTGCCGAGCAGACTCCCTCCGGAGCTCGGAGGGAGTCCGCCATTCGGCGATGGCGCTAACCCGGAAGTCTCTCCTTGCAGATTTCTCCTACTTTACACTTACCATGGTCGCCATCCGAACCATGTCTACTTAGAAATAAGTCTCATTTAATTCAGTGGGGTTTCTTGCCAGGTAAGTGTGGCTAGGATTGCAGCCTAAATATGAACATCATGGGGAATGAAGTTATAGAAATTGGCAGTCACCCCACACTGAAAATAATCTCAAAGTGACAACTATGAGCACCATTGTCTGTCGCTCAGGTGCTGCCACCAACAGGACGGAAAGACCAAAAGCCTCCTCTTCAAAACAATGTTTATTTTTCCCACAATTTTGTTCGGCTTCTGTCGACACAGTGCGGGTTGTTTCACATTTTTAAGTTGCTTAAACAAAACTAGTGAGACTGGTTTCTAGACTTTAGACTTGCTGGGA